AGATGGTTTACAATCAAATTATTCTAAGGCGATGAAGGAAGAAGTGTTCCAAGAAGTGCCTTCAGCTCCAGCCACCTCACCTCGCCCATTATGACCTTGGCCTGCCTGTTCTTCTTGTCCAACTTCAGCTACTCGACTCGCTTCGCGTTCGTCGTAAATTCGATTAGACAAGATTTCTCGCCTGACTCAAAGTCTCTCGCAAGCTTAGAAGCAAGGGCCGACCTTCGTTTTGCCAGTTCGGCCATTTGACGGTCGAGGTCAGCCAAGACTTCCCCTTTCATCTTTAAGGCATCGATTTTCGGACGAAGAGTTTCCTAAACAGCCAGTGCAGTTTTCAAGTCATTATCAGCCCGAAGAGCGTTCTCGAGAATACTGAAGGATTCCCAAACTCACTCCAAGGTGGACGACGCTTGAACGACAGCCTCAGCGCTCACTTGACCATCTGCTCCAAGATCGTTTAGGCATGCACCCAACGAATCGAGCCCTTTGAGCTCAATGACTTATGATGCCGAGAGAGATAAAACTTCTTGTAGCTGAACCAGAGCAGCTGAATCGGCAGGTGCAGTCGTAGCGGCCGAAGGACCAACCGCTCCAGAAGTGCTTGATAAGGAAACATTAAATTCGACTTCCCATGAAGGTTGCGCACAAAAATCATTTTAAGTACAAGGAAATTATGAAAGAATATAGCAAGAAGGTTTTTGTTTTAAACCTGCTAAAATGAGACTTCGGCCATATCTTCGAGTTCGTTGCTCGAACCTAAAGAACTTAATGGCCGAGCCCAGTGCCTTAGACTGCTTCTTAGTTCACGCGGCTGATGGAGGTTATCTACGTTCGATGGCTACTGAGGCGGTTAAGAAATATAGATAACACCCTTAGGCACGTAGAATGTCCGATGAAAAGAATGGGTAGGCACCTGACATTCAATATCTTCTTGGTTTAAAGATCTAAGGCAGAAAAGTAACCAAATAAAGGCAGTAGGGGTACTTATGAAGGTCGAAGTGGCTTCTTGGGGAGGAATGTTGAGGTCCTGGTCCTGCGGATGAACGGATGTTTCCAGCGTCACTTCTGGCTCGACAGCAAGACGTTTGCCACAATCGTCTGCAGGAGGGCCGACTTGGACAACCGCCTCTGATGTAGGGGGAGGCGGATCATGTGGTTGAAGGCGACTCGTCAGTGGAATCTCATCGCTCCTGTCGCTCTATTCTAGAACGACTACCGCGTGTTTTGGATTTACGGGAAGGTTTTTCTCAACCAAATGGGCCATCCCTTCCAAGACAGGCGCATCAGCTGGCCTTGAAGTTGCAGACGCCTCGACTAGTGGAGCAACAACTGGTCCAATGACTTGAGAAGCAGGTCGTACATGGGCCTTTTCTTTTACTGGTACTGGCCGTTTCTCTGTCGAAGCTTGAACAACAGGGGTAGAAAGGGAAACATTAGGAGTCGTCACCCTCATAGTGTGACTGGAGATAACATGAATCTCACGTTCTCCTTTCCTCGCCAGCTTCTTGACCCGTTTTACTGGTTGAGGGGGTTCGAAGGCCGTCTCGGCCTCTTGACGTGGCCGTTTGCTCAGCAAGGCCTATGCGGTAGGCTTAGCCCTTTTGGAGATGGTCGATTTTTTCCCAGCCGTAGCCACAACGACCACTTCCGTGATTTTTAGTGACCGACCACCTAAGAAAGCAAGAGCAAATTAGTAGAGTTCAAAGTCGAAGACAGAAAGAAGAAATAGACCGTTACCTTGAGATTAGGAGGCAGAAGCCTTATTGGGTCGACCGCCGAAGAGTTTGTTCAGGACGTTTCGACCGGAACACCAAAAAAGTTTTGGGTATACTCTTCCCACCAATCACTGAAAGTGTTAGTGCTAAGAGATTCTAGAATGGTTGGCGAAGGCGAAATTTTTGGCACCGTTCTTGAAACTCCTTCTTGGCATCCTTGCACTCCTTATCTGAAGAGCCAGATAGGCGTCATCGGTTCAGTTGGGAGCAAGAAGTACGAAGAGGCACCGGGTAACCCTGAAGATAACCGAGTTGCCGACCAGTGAATTGGGGGTGATATATTTCCCAACTTGCTCAGTGCGCGTCACACCCAAAAGGAAGGTCGCGGGTAAGCACAAACGACCCCCAAGATTGACGGAGATCAGCATCATCATCTACACTCCATGTTGATGTAGAAAGTTTGATCGACAAAGGATATTCTCGACGACGGCAGATCAAGAATTCGTTGTCGGAAAGGGCATCAAGGCCGAAGAAGTATCTGAACACGTCTTCGGCTTGGTAAGGAGGTACTGGTCGAGAAGCCACCTGAAGGCCGAACGCTTCAGTAGGCAAGAATCTAGCAAACTCTGGCGGAAGGGTGACGAAATAGACCTGCAGCCAGAGTTAGAATACCCAGAAAGGGCCACTCTAGTGTAGGTCGATCTTCTGAAGGGTCATCTCGGCCAAACAACGCAGAAGATGGGTAAGAATGGCTGGACTAAGCGCTAGGGTGTGACCGCTAGCCAAGGCTTCGACCACGGGCATGTTCTCGACTAAACATTTGTTGGACTTGGTACAACTAATAAGATTTTTATACTAGTAGAGAAGGGAAACTTCGTGTTCCCCCTGCCGTAGGTTCTCATCCCCCCGGCTGGCAAAGTGGAAGTAGAGAGTGTTGTAGTTGAGGAAGTTCTTATAAAGTTCTGAACTTCCTCATTTTAGGGTTCTTGGCCCTCTCCGCTCAGCGTCTCGATGGCCCGATCGTTGAAAAGTGCCTTCAGATCGATGGTCGATGGGTACCCGGAGAGGGTAGCGTCAACCGGGATACTAAAAGGGGAAGTCCCTAGGATCGCGGTAATGTCGAGGATAGTAGGACCTATGGGGCCAAGGGGAAAAATCATAGTGTTGGTGGTTGAGCACCAGAAGCTTGAGGCTGCCATAAGAAGCTCATTGTCCACGACGAGCTCTATAGATGAAAGACGGATGGCATCGTAAATGCCAAGAGCTTTCCATTGCTCGCCGAAGATCTTTTCCATCCGAGCAACCCAGGTCGCAGTGGTCGAGGGCCAGAAGCCTTGGGGTTTTGCCAAATCCCACCTTGACCATTCAAACCCTAACAGTATGGGTGTTAGGCATTGATCCTTGAAGGGCTCGGTAATGGCTGGTGGCAATGCATCCTTGAAAAGTGGACCAAGGACTTGGTGGGGGGTGCTCATATCACTCTCAAAGCGCTGAGTCTTAATTGAGCGCTGATCGATGATGGTCCCACATTCGTCGCATTCCTTAGAGAGCTTGGAAATGAATAAGGCCATTGGAAATGGTTTTGAAGGGTTTCTGGGAGAAAGTCAGGGGGTTTCTTTTAATCTTTGAGCAAAAGAGAGTTAGGAAAATTTGAAGGCGTAAAGAATGAATGATAGAAGGCCGGGTATTTATAGACTCGTGGAATGGAAGACTAAACGGGGAGAGTGATCAGGAAGATCGCTAATAATGATGGAGTGATGGAGAATATTAATAGACTCAGGAGAAAAAACCAAAAAACTCCCAAATTAAGGGGTCATGATGATATTGTGACAGTGTCTTTTTACGAAGAAATGACGTTTTGGTGTCCGCATGATCTCGAGGGTACCAAAAGATTGGCAAATCAAGATTGCATGATGGCATGCGGCGACAAGTATATTGATTTGAAGACGTTTGGACATCCGCACGTCTTGAGGAATTTAAAAATCTCGCGAATCAAGGAGGAAATGATGAAAGGACACTCCAAGACATGCTGAGAAGATGACACTTGGCGAGATATCTGACGAGATCAAGATCGTGCAATCGTGCTTCATAAATGCTCCTTGGAAGACGGAGCATGGTGTCGCTTCTTCAAGGTCAGGCCTCGGCCAGAGACTTCAGGCTGAAAAAAGTCCTCAGAAGTAAGGGGGCAATGTTTGGGCCCAAAATATTGGTTTGGGCCAAGATGGATTCTCGGCCCGGAAGGCCTTACGAAAAGATTACCGTGGACCGTTTAGTTCATAAGCTTCCTAACCTAGGTTGGTCAAGTCATGCTGAGAGACGTGTAATTGAATCCTGGCGCAATAAGGAGTCTCGGCAAGATATGGATAGAAGTGAATCCGGCTTGATAAAGGACTGGACTCAAAGTCATAGTGAAAATAGGACTGGTCGAGATGGTGTTTAATTAGAAGAAGAAATCCTAATCCGAGTGGGGTTTTAACTTTATTGAGAAAGTACTTGGTGCTATAAATAGATGAGGCTGTGCATCGTTCAAAGCCTCTCCAATTCAACACACAACTGCCCTGCGCAAATTCTCTCAACAACCTTGAGACTTTTTCCTTTTCTTTTTTCACCAACACACCTTCAGTTTGGATAAACATCACTGTGAAGGCAACCAGTGATATCTTCAGTCAACATAGATAGCACTGTCACTGTAGAACCAGCCAGTCTCGCATCATCTTCAGTCAGCATAGATAGCACTGCGTTGACGGTGACTGGTTATTTATCCAAGTCTCGGTCGAGAAGGATTTCTGAATCCTTATTGGTCGAGGTCATGTCATTAGCCTTCTCGGCAAAGTGAGGTGTTACAGTTTATTAGGCTTGGTACATTGCATGCCAAGTTAGTTTATGATTGGATATTCTCAAGTGGGATTTAGAGTTCGGCATTCCGGCGGCCGAACCACGTTTATTGTTAAGACATATATCCGCTTTGAGTATTTGTGCCCTTACACTTTGGTGTCGATTCAGCGTGAGTTTACTCTGACGAATACCATCACTGTGACCGAATCCGACGACGACGACGATTTGTGAACTTCGTAAGAATAGTAGCCTTGTCTTCAGGTTGGAGAACCCAAGAGGTTGAGACATGTTCCTTCCTCAGTCGGAATCGCAAGACGTAGAAGTCAGCCGCGCACCCAAAGCAACATAAACATATTTTACTCCTCGGCCGACGAGTTGGCATGCCCCACATTCAACCGAAGGACGTAGTTAGCTCATAAATTACTCGGCTTGCGCGCCACGTAGGCTTGGTAGTTTATAGGGTCAATAGTCACAAAAGCCCTATAGGCATATTAATAAAGGTTACTACCACAGTCAACAAAGTACAAGCACACAGAAAGAAAGAAAAAAAGAGTAAGCCCCAACCTTAACTTTTTTTCCTCTCTTCTTGTGTTTTGGATTTCTATGCAATAAAGATCACACAACTATAGAAGAACAAAAGGGCACATTTCCTAATTAAGCAAGAGAAAGTGAGGCCACTATGTGAAAGAATTGCAACTTCTCCAGTAGCTCTTTGGCTTGGCTTGTGCCCCTTTTCTCCACCCTTGAGAACAACTCATTGCCAAGGTGGTCACCGATGTGTGCATCGACGAGGACTCCAGCAACGCTCCTACAGCTGTTGGCAAGGGCTCGACCGACTTCAGCGGCATCATCAGGTTGGCTCACAACAAGGGGACTTCCTCCTTTAAAAATCTCGAGCTTGTTTATGGTGAATGAGCCATCGGCTTCCACTACTTCCTTGAAGTCTTGTAAACTTGATGCATACACAGGAATGTTGAAACTGTCACGTTTCTCACTAGTGATAAGTCCCTGCAAAAAAACATACATTCATAGTTAATTAATCTATGGATCAGAACTTTATATGTAAAAACTCAAAAGTAGTATATTAAGGTTATAGGAAAGGATAAATCCAAATCCAAATATTTATGATTTTCTGAAATTATTTGTAGTATATAAATTATTATATTATTGATCACATTTCTTATAAAAGATAAGGTCTTCAATAAGGCAAGTTTTATATGCTACAATTTCATAATTAATTTGTTCCATGATTAATTTGAACGTGTTAGCAATAAGACGGAGAATAAAATAAGAGAGCATATGTAAAAATACTTACCAACCATGAAGAAAGTTTACCACTTATTAGAAGATCATAAGTACGTAATTTAGGTCTCTTTCTTCAAATTTTTTATTTTTTATTTTTCTATGAACACTGGTCATCTAACTTATCCAAATGGCCTTTGTCCTGTGATACAAGAAATGATTATAACTTCGGTTTTAATATCAAGCTATCCCATTGATCCCATTTTTCAATAATATGGACCACCCGGCAGCCAATGATATATAATTATTTTGCCGACAGTACTAACATACAAATGGAAGGGCCAAGCCAGATCAGTTTTAGAGTTAGCATCCAACGGCTAGAATCAACCCAACTTAATCATGACCAGTGAAAATTCATGATAAAGGTCTTGTGAAACCAATAACACCTAATCTAATCATGCATATCTCCTTTCTTGTTTGTTTATTTGTTTTTGGTGTTTAATTTCTCTTTTGCTTTTTGGTCTGCCAATTGAAGCACAAAAATAAAATGTGACTTAGCTCTATAGCCCTATATACCTATGGTATTATGCATGCACATTGCACACAAAACAAACATTACTGTATAATGTATTTCTCGTGACATATTTAATTAAATATATGATTACCTCTTGGACAAGATCATCCCAAGCATCCTGAAAGTGGGTCCCAAAGAGAAGGCCTGGGCCACTTTCGTCAGTGGGGTCCACTGTGGTCCTACCCAAGCAAACAAGAAACATGGAGCCTCCCTTCTTGAGCTCCTTGGCTCTGGACCTGAGAAAGCTTGCCAAGTCTGTCTGGAACTGCTTCTTGTAGGCAATAGCTGTGCTCTCATTTGCCCCATGAATAAACACCCTTCCTTTGTTGTAGGCTGCTGATCTCTTGTCCAGCACACTCTCTGGGACCTGGGTCCCCATATATAAGAGATTTAACAATTATCATATTATTGCTAATATTATCAATGCCTAAGTTTTGATTTTATACAAACGATATTAAAAGAGATCTTAAGTGTATTTTGAATTGTAACCACAAACAAGATTGTTTTATGGCTGTTGAAAATCCCAAAGCATTTTGCAAAAAGCATGCATCATGAGCCATGTTGCGTAAATTCTTCAAGACATTTTGACCAGGCACACTCTCCTTTTTTTTTGTTCGTTTTGGTTCAACTTATTTGACTTTTTAGTCGTTTCCTTGAACGTAGTTTCGCTTTCAGTTACTAGCTACTTTTTTTATGGTCGAACAGTTACTAGCTACTTTTTTATTTTTATACAACAGTTACTAGTTACTTGAGCACTCAGGAAAAGTATTGGCTAGGTAAATTGGACTTGAATGAAAAATGATTCAGAAGCTTTTGTTTCTAATTAAATATAACAAACCATGATTAGTTTTATTCTATCTTTGTAAACTTAATTAGCCAATCTAGCTAGCTGTATATGATTGAGGTTTGAACACAAAGTTTACTTTAATAATAATAATTAAATTTATTTTTACAAGGGTTAGGATCAGGTAATAATATTTGATGAAGCGTACATACTCAAATGTGTGTTGAATAAGATAGCAATCACGGTAAAAATAAAGAATCTAAAATGAGAACGAGTAAGTAAGCAGTTGAGAAATGTAATTTACCATATTATTCTTAGTTTATATATACATATATATATATATATACATATATATATATATATATATTACTAAAATCGTATAAAGTAATTAGATAACTAATAGAGTTGAATGACATACAAACAAAAGGTTTCCCTTAGTATACTATCGACATATATCGTAACGTTTGGCCATTGTCTGGCATCAGACATTTATTTTTTAACAAACTATATTATCTACATTAAGGGGAAGGAGAATAAGCTTAACCTCACAATGTGCTAGCAATAATGTTGTTCAACTTCTTCTTTGGTGAGAATCGAACCTAAAATCTCTTACTTGCAAGCGAAGATGAATACTATTAGACATCTCACTTTCAAAGATGACATTTTAAAAGGACGAACATAAACACATAATTGTCTTTCCTATGACCACTTCCTTTTAACCTCGAGACCATAATTCATGGCATCAACTTTTTTGACCTATTCAAAACCAGCAAGAAAAACGTATACTTTTCGTTCTTTCTTCGCCTTCTTTTTAGTATTTGTTTGCATCAGCGGGGATATGTTGCATAGTTTCCTTGGATACAAACGTGTATTAATTGGTTTTGCATATTTGTCATCACCAACCTAAAATTTTGTACGTACTATATTATTCTATTAAAAAATCCCATGTAATTAGGTAACTAACTAAGATTATTAGCTACTTTACTTAATTACCTGAGAGAGCCAATGCAAGCAGAACGCCGAGTGAAAAAGGTCAACGGACCTCGATGGGAAGAGCCGCCGGTAAAATGAACCTGGGACGGCAGCAGCAAAGTAGGAGCGGTGGTTGTCAGTGGCAAGCGTTTCCTCCATGCTTCCGCCATGGTTGGCCATAGGAGGGATGAGCTGGAACAGCGTGTTGAAATCATTGCTGGGGAGATCAGAGAAAAATGCAGAGAACTCAGGAGGGTCACATCCCAAGGCCTCATAGCGCTTGGTCATGTGTTCGATGATCACATCTATTATGTAGATGGTGTTGCTTCCGCTTGAGCATCCAAGATCCACAGCCACAAATGGCACTTCTGGAGAGCTCAGTTGCACACTGTCTAGGGTTTCTTTTAGCAGGTGAAGCATAGATCTTGCATGTATGGCCTGAAAATTTAATTAAAACACAATTATTTGGATAATATTAAATATTGAAACATATTAAGTGCTAAATTCATAAAATAAAAAATAAAAATTAGTTTAATGAATTAGCTAATTACCTGGGCTTGGGAATTGTTGGCATAGCTGGACTCTCCTTTGCCTCCTTTCATGCTAAATATCTTCTCGAGCTTTATACTAGAAACTACGACGTTGTCTCCCTTCGGAGCCATAAGAAATTAAGAATATGATGAGTGAGAAGTAGTATTGCTGTTTAAGATTACAAGTGTATTTGAGGGTAAAGGGCGGAGTTGGTAAATGGTGGAGTATATATAGAGGGAGGAGGAGAGAATCAGAGGGAAAGGGAGCTGTTTTTTTAGAAGAGTGACAATAAAGTATGATGATATAGTAGTGCATTTTGGAGTGGCATGATGGCGAGCTAGCTCTTTTAATTGTGTTCCCTAAAGAATTTTCCAAGTGCACCAAATTTTTAAAAATACTGAGTAATATTTATGGGTGTATTCAAAATTTAGTTTTCTTTTGTGTAGTTAATTAAAGAAAAAATTAAATCTTATGCCTTAAATATTAACAAAAACAAAGACCGTGACCAAATTGATAAATAAAACCACATGGAAAGAAGTTAAACATTTTGTCAAGGCATGACCTAATCTAAAACATTCGAGTATCTCCAACAAACCTCATTATTTTAACCTAAAACTCTCAAAATCAAACTTTCAACTACCTAGCTATCCCAAATGCTAAAGTCACTTGATGAATAGTTGCTAGCTAAATCTAATTAAGCAACATGAAGAGAGAATTTAGTTGAAAGTCAAAATTAAATACTGTAAAATTGACTTCACTTTGACATTTTATCTCCTTTTGGCTCTCTGCAAGCCGACTTCCTCCGTTCCTTTCCTCCTCTAAACTTGATCGACAAACACTCTGTTCGGATCTATTCCCACCTCAGATTAGAGAGCAGAATATTTGAAACCCTAGAATTTCCCTCGAATCGAGCAGAAAGATGATTTCTCTTTCTTCTACTTCTGCTAGGGTTCAGTACCAGTATGCCCAACTGTGTTGATCTGAGCAAAATTAGGTTCGTGGTAGTTGAGTTCATTTTCTTATTATCTTTTTTTCAAATATAATAAAATATTTAGCACTTGAGTCACTTTCATGCTAAAGTAACAAAATTATCCTGAAATTAAATCAGAGTTAAATTGTAATTGACTAAAACTCTCTATGTAATCATTTTTAATCTCAAAAACAACTAATCACTCATTAATCTTTACCCTAATCACTTGATGGTTTTTAATTGTAATTTCGTGACTATTTGATAAAGAAATTGAGTCTAACAAAAATTTTAACTTTTCTATAAATAAATGAATAAAAATATTAAAGTAAAAGGTGATATATACAAAGATGAAAAAAGACAAAAACTAACCTGGGATTCGGAATTGTTGGCAGGGTTGGCCTCTCCTTTGCCTTTGTTCAAGTTCTGAACCTTCATATCAGAAACAACTTGGTGTCCACTGGAAGCCATAGTTGTATGGTTCGGGGAAGAAAAAACCCTATTGTTCAATATGCAGAGACAATGTCAATAAAAAGAGATGGAAAAAAATGCTGAGACAATGAGAACTGCTATTGCATTCAATTTATACATATATATGTGGTAAATATGTACATGCTTACTCTCAGAAAACTATTCGCCTGACTAGTGGTTTGAGAGCCAAGATAATTGCGACCGGGCAGAAAATTAAAGACTGAACTAATTAGTTAACTATTTCTAATAATAGTAGTGAAATAAAAACAACTCAAGCTGCAGGGGGAGAGCCAGAAAGCGTGGTGGTAGATTTTTGAGCTGTTTCTTAAATATCTAGAGGTTTCAATGCTGAATAAGTACAACATTAATTTCTTTCCAAGTTTGTAAGATCTAAATCCCACAGTTACCAAATATAAAGGAGTTCTTGATGCAGATCAGGGACACATATGGTGGTAACGTTAACTGACAAAGTTTCTGGAAGCAAGGAAAGAAAAGAAAACTGACAAAACAGTTCAATGAGCCATTGCCGAGTGCTTCTATTTTAATCCAATAAAACCTCTATTTCTACCCAGAAAATTTTAAAAATTCTTATTTTTTCCGTTATGCCAATTTGATCTTTGTCAGTCTAATCCTCAAGGTAACTTTATTTTTATAACGTAACACTTAGGGGGTGTAGTCAAACTCGGATTTGAGAGTATTTTAAAAAACTTTAAAACTCTAGTGTAGTCAATTAAAAGATTTTAAGAGATTTTAGAATCCATTTAAATTTAAGTGCAGTCAATTAAAGATTTTAAAGGATTTAAAATCCATCCAAATCTAAGTGTATTAAAAAATTAAGATTTTGGAGGATTTCAATAAGTTGTGGATTTTGTGGGATTTGAAAACAACACGTATATATAACCAAGACTAAAAAGAATTCAACCTCACCCCCTAGGATTTCAAATCCTTTTCCATCTGGAAAATCCTTAAATCTCTACCAACCCCAGCCAGACACAGGTAACCACTATATACTTTGGTGGAATCTCTTATTATGACCCTTAGACCTTAATTAGGCATGTATGATCATCGAAGGACATGATCGATTTAGGATTTTGGTTAATACTACTTTCTCGCCATTCCGATTTTTTAATGTTTGTGGTACTACAAGCATTACTGAAGTACCACAGCGTACGTTTGTGGCAAAAGGGTAGTCGGTGGTGATGGTTGTTGATGGTGTAGTGCTCAAAAGCTCACCAAAGTTATGTTGATCTATCAATTGAGAAAGAGATGGAGCCGTGGTTGTGTGAAAGGGGATCCGAAAAGAGAGGGGATAAAGTGGCTATCGAGTACAGTAGGGCAAGGGGAAAGATTTTTCTTTTTTTTTCAAAAAAAAAATTATATGAAAATCCACCACAATCCACCAAAATCTACAAACTAAATCCATTCAAATTCTTTAAAATCCATACGAATTTTGTAGGAGTCTTAAATCCTCCTAAATCCTATCAAATCTATCACTTTTAAAATCCTTTAAAATCCTAGTTTGACTACACGTCAGCCCATATTGTGCTTTCAATGCGTCACACTAATTAAAAATGAATTGAACAAATGCTATATGGGGGACACTCTATTTTTTTCATACAATTTGTAGGGATCACTCCATCTATATTTCAATTCATCAATTCATAAATCTTTGCAAAAAATTAGATAAATCCAAAACCTTTAAGACATTCATTTTTAGTTAAAAATGGACAAATATGGTTTTGCAACAAACACTAAAATAACTATCATTTAATCCAGCGGTCATTTGGTTTCAGATGTGGTGATTTTTGGTAGACATGAACTTTGATGTCAGACCTAAAAGTTATATGTTTGGATCATTGAAATAGATTACGGAGTGTGTCCTATAAAGTGGGTGTCAAAATGTGTAAAAAATTAAAAGCTTCTTTCCGAGCTTCTGTGTTTGCAGGCAATGCATGTGAGAGAGCATGAGTTGGCTCGAAAACATGAATTTTCTGGGTTGATCTCAGTCAAATCTTTAACTACTGGTTAAGTGATTGAAGCTTTAAGACTACAAAAACCATGGCATTCACTGCCTCTTATAAATGCTCTAAAAAAAACTATAAACACACGCACAACATGGTCTGAGACTTTCAATACCTTTGAGAAAGCCAGAGAAGCAAGTTCCAAATTTTGAACAAACACTGCAAAGGGCCCTGCAGAAGTGGGCGCAAAAGCAAATGCCTTAACCATGCCATTCCGTGGCGTGCGGTGTGTGGTGGCTGAGGTGGGAGGTGGGTGGGTCACTTCTGTTGGGATGAAGAAGCACGCAGGAGAAGTTTAGGGTGGAGAGGGAGATAAAAATTCTACGGGGTGGCTTAGATTGTTTATGGCTTTTTATGTATATTTTCCTCCATCAAGTCCTCCACAATCCTCTAGTACGCCATTTAATATCCTACAAAATCTATGACTTTCTGATATATCTAGAATTGCACTTATTTTTCCGAAATAAGTACGATATTCATTGATACAAAAAAGAAATATATCTAGATTTGCACTAATTTAAAATCTTTTAAAATCTCCTTTTTCTACATATAGATTCGTAAAATTTTTTAATATCCAAATTGACTAATCTAGGATTCTAATATCTTTTAAAATCCTCCATAATCTTAATTTATTATATATTTTTCTCTTTATGCAAGCATATATTTATAGTGATATAACCTTGGAGGGCAGGAAACTACATTCCAAATCTACTTACAATAGGAAATAAATACTAATCATCTTTGTACAATAGAAAATTGTTGAGGTCCAAAAATGTCACATGCAAGCCTAACCAAGCCTCGAGGCCCAATTATCATACGAACCTCATGCCAATCCCAAATATTTGTGAAGATGCGGAATCGAGAAAGAAATATATTCACAACCATGCCACACTACGGTAATTAAATTAGACATTTATATAAATCATGTCATGCCCATGCCTATTCATCACGCCGAACTTTATCACGCTAACCACTATTTACTCTAAAATTAGCCAAAGTCACATGCTCTGGCTTGTCAAGTGAATTGTGGTGTGGATGGTTACGAAAGTTTATTGGGCCTATGCATAGTCAAGATTTTGGAAAACTTTAAGCTGCTTGGAGCCCAAAAGGTCCAAGTCGATAACCTTTGTAGTCCACATAGGTAAGCATTGAGAGCGAACAAACTTAGTTTATCCTTTCTCCTATCAAGCTAACCAATCCAATTAGAAAGAAACCAAATCCTAGCTCTAAGCTTATGTGAAAGCCCAGCAAGATAGGCATTTAATGAAGATAGAGGCTAACTTTCCCTTCCCAACTCACTCAAAAGTTCAAGTCGCAAAAGCTATGAGACGTGCTACCAAAAGTAGCGCTTGTGGAAGGCTGACTGGAGAAGGCAACGCCTAGCCATCTTACACAGAAATGGAGGCTAGCAGAAGAACTAGAGAGAAATGGGAGAAAGAACCAAGCCACAATTAGATATTCCTGGGGAAGGAATCATTCAATTACAAATATAGGTTAAGAGCTTTAAAGAGGGGATCCCATGATAACATAGAGCCTCAAATGTCACAGAAGGCATCATTTGCAACCTTAGTTTCTTCCATAACCTTCCTCTAAGTATTTCTACCATAAAAAATAAAAATAAAATAAAAACCTCATTACCACCCTAGGAAACCTGGATTATCCAACTTAGAACACCATACAACTATGCAAACTCTCTCTTTCTCTTTCATGCTCAACTGATGAACTTCTAGCTTCCACACCACACTTATCTTGATCAAATCATTATTTGCCTACTCATGCTAAAATGACAAAGACTGCATGCCTAGGGAAAAGAGTTTGTAGGAAAAGTCAGCTACTGCTGCAAACA